GTTCTTGACAATAATGATACAAAGATATTTCAGATGAAATCCCAAGATATTGAGAATTTCCTAGCATAATGCATGTGAAGAGAATCCTTTATTTTCTCAAATATAGTGTCTAGTGATTTATAATTATTACAGAAGTCTTGTGAATTAATGGAACATTATGTGAGCCATGTTCCCTCATCCTCATCACTGCATTCAAATAGATAACATTAATAAAATGGAATTTTGAGAATATATATAATTTTCCCAAAAAAGTACTAATAGCCTGGATTATCAAATTAAAAATTAAAAAAAAAAACAACCCTAGAAGGCCAAATAAGCAGAAGTAATCATGTGACTATAATCTTTATATATTTTTTATTTATAGTGGAATCTATTTATAGTAATACCTACCACAAATTCTATACATTATAAAAAGGCTTAAAATTTTAGATGGAATTGTAGAGGTGCAAGATATTAACTAATATGTATTTAGAGATGGAAGTAAGTAGAAAGAGTTAGCAATATAAACTGATGTTATGATAGAGGTAATATGAGTTCCTAACATTTCCCGAAGTATGTTCCTTGGGTTGTTAACAGTATTTACCAAATAGAGAAGGAGAAGGAGGAGGAGGAGGAGAAGGAGCAGGAGTGTCTCATTGATGAATAAGTGTGCAAACTCATAGATTAAATAAAATTGTTAAAAAGTCTTTTTTGTGCAGAATTCTCAGAAACTTCAAGATTCAAATTACACCAAGGAATTCCAAGAGTGGATCATATGAAGCATTTCCTAAAGGTACTTGCCTATAGTACCCATTTTATAAAGAATTAATTGTGAGGCCAGAGTCCCTAATCTTGAGAAATATTAAAACTACTCTATGGATCATTTATAATTTTGACATAATTAGGGTAAATAGAAAGAAATATTTCCAAATATTTTCTTTACACATAAAAATCCTGGGTTCATTTTTGCTATAAAATCACTGATACAGTCTGAAATTGTCTTCCCAAAATTCATTTTTTGAAGTCCTAACCCCCAGTACCTCAGAATGTGACTGTTATTGGAGATAGGACCTTTAGAGATGATAGTCAGTTAAATAGGAGTCATTACGGTGCCTAGTGATGGTGTCCTTGTAAGAAGAGGAAACTAGGGCACAGACTTGCACACAGGGAAAAGACAACATGAAGACACAGGGAAAAGATGGACATCTATGGGCCGAGGAGGGAAGCCTCAGAAGAAACCAAGCCTGTGACAACTTGGCCCTGTACTTTTAGCGTCTACAACTGTGAGAAAATAAATTACTGTTGCTTAAGCCACCCAGATGGCGACACTTTGTAATGTCAGCCCTAGCAGACGAACACAGTCGCCATTGGATTTGTCCCTGTCCCCTTCATCCCCATCACTACATATGGCATGGCATTCAAAAATGCACATAATCTCTGGGTTCCTCAGTGGATTTTTTTTCCTTACCTTACTATTTGTGTTCTCCTTTGTAGGAAATTGTCTTTTTACCAAACTCTCTCTGATAGACTCACACATTTGTGAACTAAGTAGAAATTGGTCTCTATGTTCAAAGGACTCTTCTACAAAACTGGGAAGTTTCAGGTCCTGGGTAACTTTAGCTTCTAATGCCTCCTTTTGAGGTGGCAAACTTTGCTTTTTTTTCAGTGCACTCAATTCTTTCATCGTCATGTCTAATTTTATTCTGAGTTGTCTTCCTTCCTCCCTGGCACTGTTCCTTTCGGCTCGAACTTTGCTCCATTTTTCTCTCCAATTGGCAGTGCAGTCTGACCACCACCGCATGGTCTTTTCCATCTGAGCAGCTCTGGCCTTGACCTCTTTAAGTTCCCGCAGGCGAAGTTCTTCACAAATATCCCATTCATTGTTGTTACATGAGCGAGCACAGAAATTATGGACAGCATGAGATTGTGACCCATAAAGTGAGAAACAGGAATTATAGGTATCCCCGGGGGCTGAGGAAGGTTCTACCATGTCACAGTGCGGTTTCATGGATGACTGCTGCATCTGAAAGATTTGTGTTTCCTCAATTAATCGATGAATGGAATCTAAATTCATATTTATCTTTTAAGGCCTAAGGAAAGACAGAAGACATAATTGCACACTTGAATTTCCCTTGCAATTATAACAGCAAGACCAACATTTAAAAAGAAAAGTTGATAAAAGTAATGCATCTTTTCAATATTCCATATTTTATTTTCCAGTGTTACTAAAAATATGGAGAAATTTATTCATTTTAATTATCCTCAAAGAAACAGACATTGCTCATATTAAATTTTATCAAACAAATACAAATAAAGATATAAACATGCAATTGGAAATAGAATATGACATGAATAATTTATCTCAATAAATCCAATTCTGTATTGTTACACGGTCCACTTCAAAACAAAACTTGTAATATTTATTGTCCACTAACTACATAATGGTTTTCTTTTTCTCTGCTAACTAAACTCTGATTTGTTCAGGTAGAATACGGAATCTATTAATCTCTGGGAGAATAAGTCACTATCCCAATCTCAGAGGCTAAATCATGATTAGTCTACAAATTCCATAATGACTTCCATCTATTGATTATTCACTAGTCTCAAGGCAGGCATATAGCCTGTTTCTGGCTGATGAGATGTGAGGCAAAGTGTTCTGGAAAGGCTTCCCATCTAGAAAATAAGAGATCATCAGAATGAGAAATCGTCTTTCCTCTACCTTCTTTCTGTTTGAACAAACACATGGTTCTGAAAGAAGGCTAGTATGACAGCCATCTCCTAACATTTAAAATGGTGAAACAGAAAGAGGAAAAGATCCTGACTAAACTTCTGCATGAAGAATGCATACCTCTGATTTCTTTGCTATGTAAGAAGGATTACCTGTATTTATTTAAGCTATGATGGCTGAGTTTTCTGTTACCTGAAGCCAAAAGCCCATCTAACTGATAGATGAATTAATTTCCTACTATGGCTAATATTGTGATGAGCTCTAAAAATAAAATATGAAAAAGATGGTCCTTGTACTCAAAGATTTTACAGTCTAGTGGATGAGATAAGCACATTTAAATTTAAAACTACACTTTAATAAATGTATTTATTCAATCTTTTACTTAGTACATATTATGTGTCAAGTCAGACTCTTGGGGTATGTTCAAGGTGACTTAAGGAGTACTGCTAAAGATTCAATATTCAAATGC